CCCAGGCGAGCCTCGCGACTGCTTTCTGCGCTGCTGCTGCTTCCCATGCCGCTGCTCTCTCCATTGATGCTGCTGCCCCACTTGCCGCCACCTCCACTGCTGCTGCTGCTGCTGCTGACTTCAGTGTTGCTTCTTTCCCCAATGCTGCTGCTGTCTCCAGTGCTGGGTTATTCAATGCCGCTTTTCCCAATGCTTCTGCTGCCCGCCAGCTGCCCGTGAAGCGGGCAAGGGAGGACTACGGCAGGCTTCTGGTGTCAAGTCGGGCTGGGAGTGGGTGGGCCAGCCGCACGCTGCACCACTCGCAGTCCTTGGAAGACCATTTCCAGCAGCAGGGGGGAGAGAGCAGCGGAGTGCAGGCAGCGCTGTGGTCTCGCGTGGGTTCAGAGAGCGCCCTTCCAGATGATGTGCTGCTGGGATTCAGCAGCGAGGACCCTAGCGTCAGTGTGCCGTTTGCAGCACTGCCAGCGCCACTTCCAGCCGCTCTCTCTGCCCAGGCAGCTCTGCCAGCGCCTCTTCCAGCGCCTCTGCCAGTGCCTCTGCCCACCCAACTCACAGCTCCTACTGGATCTGTTCCCAGGGGAATTCGCAGCTGCTTGGGAGGGACGCTCTCCTTTGAGAATGGTTCTGCGGGACAGGAGATGTTTCCCTTCATGGGCGCACGCAGCACAGTGCCAGAAAATGACCCTCTGTTTCTCGACACGCCCGTGGCTCTCCTGTGGCTGCATGGGACTGCCTCCTACCTGCCCACTGAGCCCAGTGAGGCCAGTGAGGCCAGTGAGCCACAGGGACGGCCACTGGCAGCCTGGCTTCCTGATCCAGCGCTGCCCGAGTGGGCGCTGGAGCAGGGAGGGACGAGGGAGAAAGGTGGTCAAGAGCACAAGCATCAGCACCCAGTGGGGGAAGAAGTGGGTGTGGAAGGAGTCAGTTTTCCGCAGAGGCACCACCAGCAGCAGCAACTGAATGGCCATCAGCATCTGGAGTTCGAGGGGATTCCCTCGATGTCATCATACCAGCCACTGCCAGAGCCACACCCCCAACCACTGCCAGAGCTGCTGCCTCAGGCATTGGGCCTGGCACCGTCACAGGCATTGGTACAGGCGTTTGCACTGGCACCATCACTCACATCAGAACAGGCATTGGCGCTGGCACCATCACAGGCTTTGGAACAGGCATTCGGCACTGGGACCGTCACAGGCCCTTGGAGCAACCAATACTAACCCTAGGATCACACTACATGCCCTCAATCCCCAGGGGCTCATACATGTTTGCTTCCAAACGACCAGGCCCTGTTTGTCAGAAACTAAAATTTAACAAGTGTAGAATACAGAGGGACAACAAGGGTATATACCTATAGAGTGTTGTACCCTTTACGAGGTGACCCTATACAGTCTATACCAATATATGTTCTACATATGTTTGACACACCCCCTAGACTGCATAGGGGCAAATCCTGAACAAGCAGCTCAGGGCGGCACTACTAGTCTAGCCACTGAGACAAGGGTCTAAGGACCAGTCAAAATGGGGTACAGACAAGACAAGAACAAGACCAGGGCGGCACTACTAGTCCAGCCACTGGGAGAGGACACAAGTCCAGTCTGAGTACATATATATAGATATATATATAGGACAGTACAACGTCAAGGTCCTAGCAAGTGAGTGGCTACATGAACTAGACCGAGCTGTACACTGTGCCGCTGATGATCTTTAGGCGCAAGCGCCTTCGTAAAGATATCAGCTGTGTTGCCACCAGAGGCCAAGTGTACTACGCGGGCCTGGCGGCGTTGCTGTAGCTCACGCAGGAGGAAGTACCGCAGCTGGATGTGCTTCGCTCTGCCCTCAAGATGAGGCTCCTGACACAGGAGTATCATGGCCTTGTTGTCAGCGTACAGGACCGGGGCAGAGCTAGGCCGCTCACCTAAGTCTGTGAGCAAGAAGGTCAGCCAGCGGAGCTCCTGTGCCGCCATGGCACCAGCGTAGATCTCAGCCTCACAGCTTGAGTGAGCAACAGACGACGAGCGAGTGGATCTCCAAGAGATAGCACCCGAACCAAGGCTAAAACAGTAGCCCTGCGACGCCTTCCGCCCGTCCTGCCCCTCTCCCCTTCCCTCAACAACTCCTAGCCCCCCTCCCGCCCGTCCTCCCCCTCTCCCCTCCCCTCCGTGGCTCTTCAGACCGCCTCCCGCCCGTCCTCCCCGTCTCCCCTCCCCTCTGTGGCTCTTCAGAGCGCCTCTCGCCCGTCCTCCCCCTCTCCCCTCCCCTCAACGGCTCCCAGCCCGCCTTCCGCCCGTCCTCTCCCTCTCCCCTCCCCTCAATGGCTCCTAGCCCCCCTTCCGCTAGTCCTCTCCCTCTCCCCTTTCCACAACGGCTCCTAGCCCCACTCCCGCCAGTCCTCCCCCTCTCCCCTCCCCTCAGTGGCACTTGAGGCCGCTTTCCGCCCGTCCTCCCCCTCTCTTCTCCTCTCAGCGACTCCCAGCATCCTTCCACCCGTCCTCCCCCTCTCCTCCCCTCAGCGACTCCCAGCACGCCTTCCGCCCGTCCTCTCCCTCTCCCCTCCGCTCAGCAGCTCTTGAACAGGCCTTCCACCCGTCCTCCCCCTCTCCCCTCCCTTTCCCTCAGCTGCTCCTTAACCCGCTTTCTGCTCATCCTCCTCCTCTCCCCTCCCCTCAGCGGCTCCTTAATCCGCCCTCCGCCCGACCTCCACCCACTCCCCTCCCCTCAGCGGCTCCTTAACCCCCCCTCTCCGCTCCTCCCGCCCCCCTCTCACCTCCCTACCTCTTCCTTGGGGCCCTCCAGCCACCCCTCACACCTCCCTTCCCCCTGCTGCAGCTCCTCCTCCGGCGGCAGCAGCACGTGCCGCCCGTAGCAGCTGCACCTCTTCCTCTGGCGGCAGCCGTACGCTCCGCCCGCAGCAGAAGCAGCACCTCCTCCGCCGCCGGCAGCCGAACACGCCGCCCGCAGCAGTAGCAGCACCTCCTCCGGCGTCAGCCGCACGTGCCGCCCGCAGCAGCAGCACGAGCACCTCCTCCTCCGGCGGCAGCAGCACGCGCCGCCCGCAGCATCGGCAGCATCTCCTCCTCTGGCTGCAGCAGCACGCCTCGCCCGCAACAGCAGCACCTCCTCCTCCGGCGGCAGCCGCAGCCGCTGCTTGGAGCAGCAGCAGCAGCAGCAGCAGCAGCAGCACCTCCTCCTCCGGCGGCAGCAGCACACGCCGCCCGCGTCCTCCTCCGGCGGCAGCTTCATGCGCCGCCCGCGCCCTCCTCCGGCGGCAGCTTCATGCGCCACCCGCGCCCTCCTCCGGCGGCAGAACCACGCGCCGCCCGCGCCCTCCTCCGGCGGCAGCTGCACGCGCGCCCGCGCCCTCCTCCGGCGGCAGCACCACGCGCCGCCCGCGCCCTCCTCCGGCGGCAGCACCACGCGCCGCCCGCGCCCTCCTCCGGCGGCAGCACCACGTGCCGCCCGCGCCCTCCTCCGGCAACAGCCTTACGCGCCGCCCGCGTCCTCCTCCGACGGCAGCCGCACGCGCCGCCCGTGACCTCAACCGGCGGCAGCTGCACACGCTGCACGCGCCCTCCTCCGGCGGCAGCACCACGGGCCGCCCACGCCCTCCTCCGGCGGCAGGTGCACGCGCTGCCCGCGCCCTCCTCCGACGGCAGCAGCATGCCTGCGCCCTCCTCCGGCGGCAGCACTATGCGCCACCCGCGCCCTCCTCCGGCGGCAGCCGCACGCGCCGCCCATGACCTCCACTGGCGGCAGCTGCACGCGCCGCCCGCGCCCTCCTCGGCGCTGCACACGCCGCCCGTGCCCTCCTCCGGCGGCAGCACCACGTGCTGCCTGCGTCCTCCTCCGGCGGCATCACCACGCACCGCCCGCGCCCTCCTCCGGCGGCAGCTGCACGCGCCGCCCGCGCCCTCCTCCGGCGGCAGCACCACGCGCCGCCCACGTCCTCTCCCGGCGGCAGCACCACGCGTCGTCCGCGTCCTCCTACGGCGGCAGCACCACCCGCTGCCCGCGTCCTCCTCCGACGCCAGCACCACCCGTCGCCCATCCTCACGGGGGACTACCTGATTCAGGGGTTGCGTCTCCTCACCTACCCAAGACTTATGCCACTCTGTAGGCTAAGGGGTTGTGTTAGAGTATTCTACTTTCATTCTATTAGCCTACATCGTTTCCTTGTCTTAGGTATTTATACGCACCCCACTAAGGTGTATACACCCAAGTTGGGGGTTGGGTTCCCAACCTTGTTGAGTTCCCAAATTGGTAGGGCTCCCAATTATTCGAACCCACCAATAATCCCAACCAAGATTATTGGACCCACCAATAATCTTGGCTAGGATTATTGGACCCCCAATAAGTTGGCCAACCCAACTTATTGGATTGACCAATAATCGTGGTCACCTCCCAACCAAACCCCCCCTCCTACTCCTCACCTATGTATACCCACTCCATTCCGAATACAATTAACTGCTTTTTCACATACGTAACATCACTCTGTACGGAATGGCAAAGCCGCAACGACAGGGTGACAATAACCTGGAATGATGGGAAATGAAACTGTGAATAGCGAGGGAAACAGTACGAGGAGGAGCCATCAGCTCACCTCCCACCCAGTGACCCCATCGAATGTTGTTCGTACGATGGCATCCATGTACTGTGCACCCTTCATAGGAGAACCCATCAATGATCCCAACCAATGATCATGAGAGAGGGCTCAGCTCAGCTCAGCCTACCAGCCAGCTCACCTCCCAGTGACCCCATCGAATGTCGTTCGTACGATGGCATCCATAAGCTTTGCACCCTCTGAAGGAGCTCGCACCACACACATGCAGACATGCACAATGCACATATGCATGCACACACAAGTAGGGCGCAAAGAAATATTGCATGAGAGACCAAGATAGAGGGAAACACATCAGCAGATAAGAAGGCAGATAGGAAGTAGATACAAAGACAGCGAGGCTTGAAGACCTATGAACAGGGATAGGAAACCAACTCACCGAGATTCTCTTGCAATTTGGCTAGATCGGAAGAAGCACCTCCTCCCTTTGGTAACCTCACTGCTTGCCACTGCTCAAGCCCCTGCACCCCCGCATTCGTACTTTCCACTCCTGCCCCTGCCATTATCCCAGCGATACCCATGGCACTTGCACTGGCGTTGCTAGCAGGAAGAGGAGGAGGGGAAGGGGAGGAGTAGGAGGAGGAGGGGGAGTTGGGATAGAGGACGGAGTGGAGGCCGCGGGCGATGAGGGAGAGAGAGTCATGGGCGAAGAGAGCGTAGAGGGTGGTCTGCAGGGGGGGAGAAAGGGAAGAGACACAGAAGAGGGGGAAAAGAGGGGGGATGGGGGAGGGGGGGGGGATAGAAGGAATGTGAGAGCTGATTAGAAACAGGAGGACGGAGCTGACTTGTGTGTGATGAGGAAGAGGGAGTCATGGGCGAAGAGGGCGTAGAGTGTGGTCTGCAGGGGGGAGTGGGGGGAGAGAAAGAAGGGGAGAGAGAGGGGGGCGGGGGGAATATTTGGAGGGAGCCAGTGCTGTGTGCGACGAGGGAGAGAGAGTTATGGACGAAGAGGGCGTAGTGTGGTCTGCAGGGGGGGGGAGAGAGACAAATGAGGGAATACGTGCCTTTGAGTCGACTCAAACGAGGGAATCCGTGCCTCTGAGTCGACTCGAAGAAAGAATCCGTGCTTTTGAGTCGACTCAAAGAGAGTATCCGTGCTTGACTCGACTCAAAGAGAGTATCCGTGCTCAAGTCGACTCAAAGAGAGTATCCGTGCTCGAGTCGACTCAAAGAGAGTATCCGGGCTCGAGTCGACTCAAAGAAAGTATCCGTGCTAGTCCACTCAAAGAGAGTATCCGCGCTCAGAGGTACAAACACCCGCATCCCAATGCACCCCTCGGTGAACAGCTCGTCTCGCCCTCACCTCTTGGAACAATGCTGCAGCACCAGCTGTTGCATTCCCGTCCCCATCCGCCTGCCACGCCCGCTCAAACTCTGACAGCTGCGCGTTGGGCGGCACGAAGACGCGCGTCCCAATGACCCCCTCCGTGGAGAGCTCTGGTAGGTTCTCCAGCTCCGACACCACTCCTTCGGTGGCGATCCACACATATCCGGGGGTCATCATGCCCACCTCCAACGCTGGTGGGAGGGAGCAGGAAACAGACAGGGTACGGGGAGAACAGGGGCAACAATGGAGCACAAAGCCTTCAGTGAAGAGCTCTGGCAGGGTCTCCCGCTCAGCCATCACCCCCTCAGTGAGGATCTACACGTACCCAGGGGCCATCATGCCCACTTCAGACGCTGTTTTGAGTGAGAGGGGTGGAAGGTAGGGGCATGTGGGGTGGCATGGAATGGAGAGCAGGGGCAAGGAGGAAGGAAGACGCCCCCCTCCGTGGAGAGCTCTGGCAGGTTCTCCAGCTCCGCCTTACGGCCTCTGTGGCGATCCATACGTATCCAGGCGTCATCATGCCCACCTCAGACACTGATGTGCGGGAGAGGGAAACAGGGTATGGGGAGAATAGGAAGGCAACAATGACGCATGACCCCCCTCCGTGGAGAGCTCTGGCTGGCAGGTTCTCCAGATCCGCCACCACCGCCTTTGTGGTGATCCCCACACTTCTCCAGGAGTCATCATGCCCACCTCCGATGCTGGTCGATGGAGAGAGAGGGGAATATGGAGATGGAGGGTATAGGGGTGTGAGTGAGCTAGGGGCACTTGACCCATTTAATAGGGGTGTGTGTGAGCTAGGGGCACTTGACCCATTTAATAGGGGTGTGTGTGAGCTAGGGGCACTTGACCCATTTAATAGGGGTGTGTGTGTGCTAGGGGCACTTGACCCATTTTATAGGGGTGTGTGTGAGCTATGGCAGGGTCTCCCACTCAGACACCAGCCCTCAGTGGCGATCCACGGGTAGCCTCTGGCCATCATACCCACCTCAGACGCTAGGGAAAGGGATGGTGCGGGCGGGGCGGGGCGGGGGAGAGAACCAGGGGGGATACGAATGGGCGGGGAGAGCTCAAAGGCAATAGCGTTCTCCGGCTTTACCATGACCCCCGTGTGGACCCCTGTGGCGATCCAAGGCACCCACATGTAGCCAGACGACATCATACCCACCTCAGATGCGTCACCTCACCGTGGAAGACGAAGGAGGGAGGGAGGGAGGAAGGGGCTCAAACGATGCCAATCTTTTCCAGGCTCAGCTGGAGGATTAGCACAGTAGACTCCAGCTTCTGAAGGGCAAGCAGTCAGGATTGGGAACATAAGCCATGGAACGTACCAGCGGCCAGCATACCAGCACTCAACCTACCAGCACGATCAGCTCAAGGTTCAGCTGGAGAATGAAAATGGTGGACTCCAGCTTCTGAGCCGCAATCAGGATGTCTGATACCCCTTTCCCCCCCCCCCCCAAAAATAACCTACCAGCTGTGAGCACCGGCACAATCAGCTCAAGGTTCAGCTGGAGAATGAAAACAGTTGACTCCAGCTTCTGAGCGGCTAGCAGGCGCACGATGATGTCTGAGAGGGAGGCGTCGAGCTGCACGGGGATGCTCTTCACCACGTCTATGGACAGCTGGAGGGTGGGAAGGGGACGGTGGGAGGGGTGCGGTGGGTGGGAGGGGGTCGGGTTGAGGGGATGAGGGTGAAAGAGTCGGCACATGGTGATGTCTGAGAGGGAGGCATCCAGCTGCACGGGGATGCTCTTCATCACGTCTATGGACAGCTGGAGGGGAAGAGGGTGTTGGGATAGGGAGGGAGTGGTTGGGATTGCGGGGAGTGTTGTAAAATATATATCTATACAACATGCATGCCTAGATTAGAAGGTGTAGTCATTATAATTATTGGGGGGTTGTTGGTTGGATTGACCAACCCCACATTTGGATTGGTCAAGATTGGATTTGGTCCTAGACATTTGGTTGGCACTATTCCAACCAAATGGTCCTTGGTCCTAAGAACCAACCAATCACCAAGCACCACACTTTGTGGTTGCTTGCCTTCCAAGCAACCTCTCCCATTGGTCCACATTATGCCCAATAGGAGAGCACCACACTTTGTGGTTGCTTGTCCTCCAAGCTACCTCTCCCATTGGTCCACATTGTGGCCAATAGGAAGAGCTTCCCCTCCACCTCTTCCTTGCTCCTTGTTTGTACAACAGAGCCTCTTGGCTCCCTACTCAATTATTCCTTTCTCCTCAAAGCTAGTTCCTTCAGGGAGGACTAAAATGTTTGAGCTGAGAGCGAGAGGGAGGCGTCCATTTGCACGGGGATGCTCTTCACCACGTCTATGGACAGCTGGAGGGGAAGAGGGTGTTGGGATAGGGAGGGAGTGGTTGGGATTGCGGGGAGGACATAGGATGTCTGAGCTGAGAGCGAGAGGGAGGCGTCCAGCTGCACGGGGATGCTCTTCACCACGTCTATGGTCAGCTGGAGGGGAAGAGGGTGTTGGGATAGGGAGGGAGTGGTTGGGATGGCGGGGAGGACTAGGATGTCTGAGCTGAGAGCGAGAGGGAGGCGTCCAGCTGCACGGGGATGCTTTTCACCACGGCTATGGACAGCTGGAGGGGAAGAGGGTGCTGGGATAGGGAGGGAATGGTTGGGATTGTGGGGAGGACTAGGATGTCTGAGCTGAGAGCGAGAGAGAGGCGTCCAGCTGCACGGGGATGCTCTTCACCACGTCTATGGGCAGCTGAGGGAGAAGGGAAGGGGGCGGCAGGGAGTGGTTGGGGGAGCAGGTGGGACTGTGATTTGATTTCGGAAAGCAGAGGTGTCTAGCGGCGCAAGGCGCCTGGAAGGTGGGATGGGAGGGGGATTTCATTCAGCAGGTGATGGGCGCCCACAGGTGGCTACTTTTGAGGCGCCTCAAAAATAGAGTCCACAGGTGGCTACTTTTGAGGCGCCTCAGAAGGAATCTCATTCAGCAGACGATGGGGCCTGCTAACGAAGAAGAGGCGTCCACAGGTGGCGATTCCTGTGAACGCCCCCTCGAAAAGGTTTCTTCAGTGCTCAGAGGCCAAAACGGAATCAGAAGAAGAAGGATACAAAGAAGAACGAGCATTGAAAGGAACAGTAGCGAGGCCGCTGACCTTATCGAGCAGCACGGTGAGCTGGTTGACTCCGTTCCTGCCATAGTCGTCGTCACTGTAGATGGTGATCACCTCAAGCCAGCTGAAATGCGCCACCAGGTCTGGAATACGGGGAGTGGATGGGGAGGAGGAGGGCGGGGGGGGGGGGGGGGGATGGGTGGGTCGGGGAGCAGAATGAGAGGTGTGGGGCATGAGCACCAGTACCACTCAGGCACAGCTACCTACCTGACACGGAAGGACTCAGGTCTCACCTGCTATGGAGAGGAATCGGGTCTCTCACCCGGTGTGACGAGGACTCACGGCTTGTTAGAAACTGAGAACTTGATTAATTCAATGAGCAAGAGCATACATCCTTAAGTACCGAGCATCGGAGAGGATGGGAAGGGATAAGGGAGAATCGGAGGGAATCCCAAGGGAATCCTCCCAAATCGTGGCGATTTGGGATGGATTGGGTTGGGATTAGACATGAGCAAAACCGGGTAATTACCCGACCCGACCCGGTTTTGCCCTACCTGCAGTCGGGTCCGGGTCGGGTCGGGTCGGGTAATTTCCGGGTAATGTTTGGAATTAGGTTACCCGACCCGGTATTTAAATTCCGGGTAATTCAGTACCCGTGTGGCGGGTCGGGTATACCCGACCCGGTTTTTATTAAAGTCGGGTAATATTACCCGACTATCCCTAGGTGGCTGTACAACTTAGCAGTAAATGCTACTCTAAGCTAGAACCTGATGAGAATGCATCTTAGACCCTTTTGACCGCGTTGTTCAAGTTTAGGGGAATGAAGCAACTCTACCAAGATGCATTACACTCTACCAAGTAGTGTTCGAGTGTGTTTGTAGCTCGCTTCATGAAAGCGTTCGAGGTAAGTAGCATGCAAACCAGCACACCTGTCACTGCAACAAACATACCAAGGGGAGTTTAAGCAAACCCACTATGTGACCAATGCCCCTCCTCCCTCACAGCCCCTCGTCATCACCCTCAATACACACCTCCCCTGACCCCCCACCCTGATGTGCCATTGGGAGTTTGGCGTCTGCGTGCTGCGTCATCCATGAATTGATAGTCATGGATGCGCGCACCTGAGCAGGGCTCAACCGATGACGCTGCCAGCTGACAATGTTTCGGCCCTGGCTAAACGCCCGCTCACTCGGTGCCGAGGTTGCAGGGATGGCAAGGTAATCGCGAGCCATGGCTTGCAGCCCCGGCAGCGAGGTGCGCGAGCGCCACCATGTGAGAGGGCATTTGTCCATGGCCAGCCTCTGCTCACCCAGATACCTCTCCACCTCATCCACCTCCTGCACACCCGCCTCCTCATCCATCAGGTCCATCTGCGAGCCAAGCAAGTCCGTCAAGCGCCCCCCAGTGGCCCTCCTGTCACCCTCCTGTCCGAGCCTACTCTCCCCCTCCCCACTCGTAATGCCAGAATTCGTGCCCTCGTGCCCTGTGCCCACGGCTCGGCGGCGCTGCTCGTCTAGGTACGACTGGAGGCGAGAGCGCACCAACGCCTTGACATCCGCCTCGCTCACATCCTTGACTACCCTAGGTCCATCAGCAACCGCCGCCACCAGTGTCGGGTTCGCCCCCTCCCACCTCTTCAGCTTGAAGTATGCGTTCTTGAACCGAGGGTCCAAGAACGTCGCCACAGCTAACTCGTCACTAATTCCATACAAATACTTCTTCAGGACCACCAGCCCCTCCCTGTCCATCTCCTTGCGCAGCGCGTTGGTGCTCGGGTTGTGGAACGAGGCCTCGAGGGTATCTATGAGGAGGTTAAACTGTGGCACCACCGCAGCGGCCGTGGGGTACAAGGACCCCTCTGCCGCCGTGGTGATGTCATTGAATGGTTTCGGGAACTCGGCCAGAACCTCAGCTACCTCCCAGTGCGCATCCCCCAGCTTGCACCGGGCCGCCTGCACCTGTGCCCGCCTGGGAACACCAACCTGTGGGGTGCGGGCGGAAGGGTGGCCGGGAGGGGTACAATGGGGCGAGGATGTGAGGAAATCAGCAACACCATGCAGATAGAGGACTACAATTGAACCGGGAAAGAGCTTGGACTGTGGAACGATACGAATGATGGGGAAATGGTAAAGTCAAGTACCTCAGGCCGGGAGAAGAAGAGTGTGAGCGCTGGTTTCAGCTTCAGTGCGCGGGCAACCATCTCGTAAGACGACCCCCAGCGAGTGGGGGTGTCATTGACCAATCGGAGAACCGGGGTGCCGGGCGGGAACACAAGCGCCTGCTCCGCCTCAAACATGGGGGACCTGGTAGATGACCAGCCAATGTAAGACGCGAGCTCCCTCATGCGGCGGAGTGGCTCTGCCACTGCTGGCAACCCCAGAGCCCGCTGCACTGCAAGGTTTAGGATGTGCGCCAGACACCTTGGGGTGGGTCGGGGGGGGAGTTGTTTGGGGTGGGAAGATAGGTATAAACCCATACCATGGTGCACATGTGGCATGTCATGCCATGGTGCACATGTGGCATGCCATGCCATGGTGCACATGTGGCATGTCATGCCATGGTGCACATGTGGCATGCCATGCCATGGTGCACATGTGGCATGTCATGCCATGGTGCACATGTGGCATGCCATGCCATGCTGGACATGTGGACATGTGACAATAACATGCCATGCCATGGTGCACATGTGGACATGTGGCATGCCATGCCATGCCATGCTACGGCGACCCACCTGAAGAAGAATCGAGGGTTGATGACGGCGACAGCTCGCGCCTCGGAGGTGTTAGGATCGGCAGTGAGGATCTTCAGGGCCTTCACGTTGTTCTCGGCATTGTCCGTCGTGATGCCGAGCACGTGGTCATTCAGGCCCCAGTCTGCAATGATCCGCTCCAAGGTTTCTGCAATCATCACGCCAGTGTGGGACCCCTGCAGCTCCTCGAACTCCAGCAGCGCCACTCGCAGCTGGAAGTCCGAAGTGATCCAGTGGGCTGTGACGGCCATGAACGAATCCTGGGCAGGGCTAGACCAAATGTCTGTGGTCAGTGACACCTTCCCCGTTGCCCCGTCCCCGATGATCTCCTGGTGCAGCTGCTCGCGCGCACCCTCCCCAGACAGTAGCATGTCACGGGCCAGGCGGAAACGAGAGCCTAGCAGTTCTGCGGCCGGCGGGTTCAGGAGTGCAGTATATCGACGGAACTGTGGGGTGGGGCGGGATGGGGTTAAGGGCAGGTACACGCGGATGAGGAACCCCGAGTCTCTGTCGTAGGCATGGAGTCAGCGCACACGACGGATGACGATATGACTAGGCACAAAGGGCTGGTAAGCACCACCAAGTGTTATGACTCACCAAGGGCCGGTCGACGAGGCGGAAGGGCAGGCATGCGTCGGCGAACAGCTCAACCAACGCCTGCCGGAGACGCTCCTGGGACACCCGCCGCGTGAAGAACTGGCCGATGACGCGCTGCCCACGCTCGGCCGTGGGTGTCCCGGTGCCCTCACGTAACCCCGGGATGTTAGGATACGCCGCCACATGCTCCCACAGCTCGGGCCCATCTGGAGCACCCGTGTATCCGCCGGGGGGGAACTCAAGGCCCAGCTTCTTGTCCGGGGCTGTAAACTCGCGATGCCATATCTGGAGATGAGGCATGTGCTTCGCTCGCACATGCTTCCATCCGGTCGACGTACTGCTCCGGTCCCAGTAGAACTCCTCCTCGCATACCTTACAGACACGCGAGGCATCACCCTCCTCCGACTCATAAAACATCCCTTGCATCAAGCCAGGAATGGTACCCCAGTAGCCTGGAACAGGTTCGCCATCCTCCCCCACCCGCGTCCGCTTCACCCGCCCTGCACCGGTCCCTGCAGCCCCTCCCCCGCGCCCGGTTGCGCCCGCCCGACGGGGAGTCACCCCAACACCCCCATCTCGGGCATCCTCCGCAGCTACCATTTCACGTCCCTCTGCACTCCGCCAAAGACCCCTTGCGGCCCCTCTGGGACGGCCGCGCGCAGCACGCCGCCCTGCTTCCGCATCCCCCCCCTGGTTTGCGGCTCTCGGGCGACCCACCGCCTGCGTGGCAGGGGATGCATCCTCTCCTGAAAGATCCACCACGTCGTCGGCACCCGGCTGCCAATCCTGATCACCACCACCACTGGGACGCTGCTCAACCCGCTGCCCTCCGCCCCCACCTGGCAGAGCGCCTCCCTCACCGGGCTCCACCGCTTGCACGTTCCCCTCCTCTCCGACCCCACGAACCCCACTCCCCAGAGCAAAGCTCTGGTCCTGTGCGGGTACAGGGAGACCTCCAAGGGAGGCGCCTTGTATGCGATTGCTGGACTGCACTCCCCCCTCCTCAGCCGTGGCGACTCCTCCTTCGGCGGCCAGATCCTGGTCAGCCATAGAAACCCCGTCCCAACTGTCGTACAGTAGCACCATGACCGAACTGTCCGTCAATCCCTAAACGCGATTTCAGTGTATTCTACGCTCTAACTGGAAGAGGGGGTGACGAAACCCTAAAACGGACGGCTAGGCAGCTAAAATCGCCAAGGTGTAGCCCTTGTCTTCTACACTACCCTAGGATTCGTTAAAAATTGAAGCGGTTTGTAGTAGACCCGCTGCGGAATGCTCCTACGTGCACGTTAGGGTAGGCTTAGGTTGAACGAAACTGAGAAACAAAATAGTCGCGGGAAATTTTGACCCTATGGTCGAAATTTCCCAACCACCGCGAAACTTGACGTGCTGGTTGCCGTCGGGTAATTTTGTGACCCGATATCGGGTCGGGTACCCGCGACCCGATCTCGGGTAATAAACCCGATGTCGGGTAATGCATCCACTACCCGGCGGGTAATAAATTACCCGACATTTCGGGTAATTTCCGGGTAGCGGGTATGCATTACCCGGCGCTATTACCCGACCCGACCCGGCCGGGTAATTTGTCAGAATCCTATTACCCGACCCGGCCAAAATGTCGGGTCGGGTCGGGTACCCGCGACCCGACCGGGTAAAATGCTCAAGTCTAGTTGGGATAGGTTGGGGATGAAAACATAGCTACACCCAACCTAAGAAATATGCGTATCCCTAACACCAACAAATTGCCAACACACAAAGTTGTGCCAACCGAATTGCAGCCTATCTGTAACACGGCTCACCTGCTATGGCTTGCATCTCAAGGGCGTCGCTGCAGATGGTGCGGGGGAAGAAAGGGCATGGCGCGGCAGAGAGAGAGAGAGAGGGGTCTTCGCGTCGACTCAAAAGATGATTCAAGTCTCGTCTCACCTGCTATGGCTTGCATCTCGAGGGCGTCGCTGCGGATGGTGCGGGCAAAGAACGGGTAGGAGGCGGCGGAGAGAGAGGGGTCTGTGGCAGAGTAGGAGACTGTAGGCAGCTGTTCGGTTCGGGGGTGGGGGGGGGGGATACGAGAAAGTGAGAGGGGGGTGAGAGAGTGGTGGACAAGTCGTATTGCTAGCATTGCGACCTTTCAGCCGACTCAAGAGTCACCTGGCTGGACACGTACACCTACCTGCACTTGAGTGTGGATGGCTGAGAGCACGTGCGCCTGAGAGGACGTCATCGGCCCAACTGCTGCTACCACCCTTTCTGTCAGCATCGTCTGCACCACTGCGGAAGGAGGAAGATAGAGAGAAAGAGAGCAAAAATGCCTCATTGTATTTCCAGAACAACACAACAACTCGAGAATGTGATGAAAAAGGCTAGTGCTGACCATTTTTTTGGAGCCCCAAAAATAGTACTAACCGCCACGACCTCAGTTATGTATTTCGCCGGCAGCTGCTCGTCCACGTCGATCATACGTACGCATTTGAGCTCACTGAAAGTATAACTCCCGGCCTCTTCGTCGACTTAAGAGGGTTACCTGCCGCTGCAGCCTGCGTGGTGGAGAGGCTAGTGTTGCTGACCGGCACGACTTGAACGGAGTAGTCTGGCAGCAGGTCGTCGTTGGACCTGAGCTCAGCCGAAATATACCATATAAACCACACAGAAGCTCAGCAGCGTTACCTGCCGCTGCAGCCTGGGTGGTGGAGAGGCTTGTGTTGACCGGCACGACTTGAACGGAGTAGTCTGGCAGCAGCTGGTCGTTGGCGTTGATCTGGGCCTCGGCCAATCGCACAGCTACACGTGTACAGGGTGGCAAAGGGGGTGGAAAGAGGGAGGAGAAAACGAGAATGTGTTGGAAAAAAGCGGGATGCTTGAGATAGAAGAGGGGGTATGAGAGGGTGCTTCTCAGTCACCTACCTCCTCCCTTTCCACTCGGCATTAGCTGCTACAGTGGCGAATGCTGCTTAAATTCTCACCTTTAAATATGGCCTGGCCGAAAGGGACCTCCAGCAGCACGAGGCACGCCGTATTTCCCCCACCCATTCCCCTCGGAATTTGCTGCTACAGTGGCGAGTGATTCGAAATCTCTCACCTTTGAAAACCGCCTGGCCGAAAGGGACCTCGAGCGGCACGAGGCACGCCACTTTGATGACCTACTTCCCGCCATTCCCCGCCATTCCCCGCCGCCGCCACCGCCGCAGGCGCTGCTGCTGCTGCTGCTGCTGCTGCTGCTGCTGCGTTATCGACTGCTGAAGTAGCGACTCCTGTGAAAGCGACTGCTGACGAAACAGACAGGTTCTCACCTTTGAAGATGGCCTGGCCGAAAGGGAGCTCCAGCGGCACAAGGCAAGCCACTTTGATGACCTGCTTCCCGCCATTCCCCGCCACCGCCGCCGCTGCTGCGTTATCGACTGCTGGAGAAACGACTGCTGATGAAGATGCTTCCGACGACGAGGCGATAGGAGCACGGGAATCCGCTGTCGTAATGGCTGGTAGCCCTAGAAGAGATAACGCGAGAGCTACCCATAGAATAGCCAACGGTAGGAGCAGCTTTCGCGGACGGTGCGTACTGGAATCCTCGACCAGGGCCATCACTAGCTTCTCAAGTGAACGGCGGAGAGAATCCTGGAGCCTTCTGTGTAGTTCAACCAGCTATTTTGCCTATCAGCGAGCTGACATTACGGTCCATGTCACTACAGCCGGATGCACAGCCCTCCCATCGCTGCGGATGATCAAGACTCCTCGGCCTACGCGTGCAACGTGGAGGAGCAAATGATAAGGAGAAATCGGCCGTCTCAGCAGTCTCAGGTGTCCGGGCAGCAGTTCCCCAACGGACCGACCATAAGTAACGAAACCCTAATTTGACGGAAGCAGCAAGTATAATTTGTACACTTAACCCGCGGTATTTTCACACCTATTATTTTCTCACCCTATGTCGCGTAGTGGCGTGGTCAAACTTCAACAGTTCGGACCGCACTGGTTTGTGCGTCCCCAGGCTCGCGAGAGAAGGAGCCCCCTGAATAGGCTCGGAATTGGTGACAACCTATCAATTTGTGTGGCCCTGCGCACAGGAGCGCGTCACTAGGGGGGAGCAGAAACGAAACTTGTCTCTGGAAGCACCGACAGAACTGTAGAGCTGCCACATCGGAGTTGGCCAATTCAAATGAAATGTGCAGCATGGTTTGTAATTGGCTTGAACAAAATACACCCAATGAACGCACGAAATTGAGGAACCAGGCCGCGCAGCAAAAGAACAGCACATCGAAAAGGAATCCCATACTCTGAAATTGAGACACGATACAGAATGTGCTCACAAATTCCCGAATAGGAATTCCCCGCGCGACATGCAATCACAGCCCAAAGGCAATACGAAATTAGCTACTCAAAGCCCCCGTCTCATAATTCCGGAAGCTTTCCAAGCGTTAAACGCTTGGTACCAGGTTACACGGCCGAAACTAGGAGGAGAGGTTAGGGAAAGCCCGTGAGAGGGTGGAAGCAACCAGGGGCGAAAGCGAGTGTAAAATCAGGGGCACCACGGTTCTGTGAAATATGAGACTGCTCAGAACCTGGGAAGCAGCGCGCAACTGGTACTGTGGGCCGTTAGATCTGTTCCAATTTCAGATCTGACGGACAGCTCCCTAAGCAGCTGAATCGACGGTTGGTAGCAAAGTAGAAAGTGAAAGCAAAACAATTGGATTGTCAGCCGTTGGATTTCCGAAGTGTGACTGGCTCGGTGCGGAAACCAAACGGCCGACAACCCAAGGCCCTTTGCCCGAACCAGGATTTCGGTTTGGGAAGTTTGTCGAAACAAAAGGGCCTCGCTACCTGCGTTTCGTTTTCTCCAATTCTTCAGCACCTCGCCCTCCAATCACCGAGTGTCTTCCTTAGCCAAGTGTTAAATAGTTGGAATTATGAGAACCTGGCTTTAAGGATGTACTTAAGCATGCGAGGCAGCGATCAACGGCTTGCACAATGCCGACCAGGCTTAGAAATGTAGCTTTGACACGAGAAGAGAAACGACGCCTCTGCTTGGACCGGCAGGAATGCCCGTTGGACAACCACAACCGCCTTGCTGCATGGTGTCAGTCCGAGTTCGGCAAGAGGCCAGGCCGCACTACAATCGTCAAGATTCTTAAGTACCAGGCCCGATGGTTGGCTCAGACTCCGTTGCCTGCCTTGCGTAAGCGTCTCCGGTCCGGCAAGCAGCCCAAGCTAGAGGAACGGTTGAAGGAGTGGGCTATGAGTCACATTAAGGGAAACCGCCCTATTTCCTTCAACGTGTTGCAAACGAAGGCGGTAGAGATCGGTCGCGAAATGGGGATTGTGCAGATGGGTCTGAGTTGATGGCGCAGATTGTCATTGGCACTGCATTGCGTCCTTCATCGTTCGGCTGAGATTTCAACGTTCACGACTTCGTGTGGTACCGTTCGAACAGACGTGGATGGATGACTTCAGAGGTATGACGTCCATTTTTTTAGGCTCTGAAATGTCCATATGTGAGCCAACTGGTTGATGTTTTTAAGGATTTTTTGCTAACAACTCTGATTGGTATTGCAGGTTTTCTCGAAGTGGCTTGCCGAGAAGAATGTGGACATGGTCTTGGCTGACCGAAGGATTGCTATCCTTGTCGACAATGCCTCAGCCCACAATGTTATCAACATCGAGGGCGCAGTTAGAGAACGCCGGCATGGCTTCAAGGTTGTAACACTTAGCAACATTCGTATCATCTACTTGCCACCCAATTGCACTTCTCATGTGCAGCCGATGGATCAAGGCATCATATCGACCGTGAAGCTGCGATACAGGAAACTCCTTGTGGAGTGGCTCATCCGGAAGTTTGACAGTCCCGATACTAATCAGGACCCGAAAGATGTTCGTCCAGGTTTGAGGAATGCCATCCTCTGGATGCACGGCTGCTGGCTTGGGATGGTACAAGACATCGTTCGGTGGTGCTGGAGGCGAGCGGGAATTGTGCCGCAATCGTGGCTGGAATCTTGGGGCATGGGCAGGGTGTATGAGGGGCCTGCCCGTGACCCACCTCGACCCGAAGTCGTAGCGCTCCAGCGACTAATTAGTAACCTGTCTTTGGATGAGCCAGCTATGACCGCCCTGCAATTTGCACGGTACGACAACCATGCGGCTTCGTGCTCGAACATCCAAAACGATACTCAGTGGGTAGGCCGTAGCCTCTGGGCGCCAACCCGCATCGGTGCTCCTCTACCCTTCGACCTTAACGACGCCCCCCCCCCCCGGGAGCCGACGCTCCTTGTTGAAGCTCTCACGAGGGCCGACATTCGTGCCGTCGAGGAATGCGCCCAAGATAGCAGGTTTGCGCCGTACATATTTCCTGCTGTCCTTCGGTCAAGACGTGGGCGCCTGGACGACTCTATCAACCAAGATCACGTGGAGTGGGTTCGTGCGGGTCAGCTTAATCGCTGTTAAATTATGACTATCGGGTTTAGGTTCTATAGCGCTGAACAAAAACAGGTTTACTAGAGGCCTCTGCTGAGGGAAGTTTTTCTTTGACTTTGTATCGCAATTCAGTTGGCTTTGTGTTCCCAATTTCACATTCCATATTTCGGTTTGAACAATTGGACGGTGCATTCAAATTCCAACACAGCGCGACCTTTCGACCAGGGGAGCCTCGGTTGGGTGAGTTAGCGTTGTCAGGCTCGGGTTGCGACAGCGTGGCACCTTTTTCGTTTCGGCGGATTACCCCTGTGAAGATACTGGGGCGTTTCGCGCCCCAGTAACTTCACACCTTCAGGATACGCCAAACGCCTGCTATCCATTTTCAGGGTGTGAAAATACCGCGGGTTAGGTGTACTGGCAGAAGGCTGGAATGGAATTCCCAATTTCCCAGTTTGGAGGAGAACCTGTACTGCACAGTACAGTAAACACGTTCAGCACCACCCCCACCTCTGACCTCAACTCTGGCAAGTAGCTCACCTCACCAACAGCTCTACGACAGGCCACCTTGCAACTCCGCGATTTCGTTCGTATTCGCAACTCAGCGAATTCGTTCGTACACATGAAGTCCATTGCAGGTCCAGCTGTTTTTCGAGCGGGTGTTCCAAAGTCGAGCACATAACTTTCACGCGCGTATTGGGCCAATATAGGGTAGTTTGGTTACTTGATTGGCATTTTACAGTGTAAAGCGGGTAGCCACTGTTGTTTCTTTTGCGTTTCTCGGGCAACAGTACAAGGTCTGAGAACGTCCCGTCTGCATGTTTGGACGTCTCTGTATCAAATGTGGTAAAATTGGGGCTCTGTAAATATGGCCGCTGACCATGATTTTGAACAAGAGGCTTGTAAACACATATGTGGCATCCAGTTAATAAACTTTTACTGGAATAAATGTGTACAGAGAGCCATTCGTTGTGTTGGCCATTCAAGTCACTCGACAGTGCAGCCTCGATAATGACAAGTGCAGCACCAAGCTCTGCCAAACCAATGTCGGTGGCGCGGAAATAAAGGGGCAATTTAATGAATGGCTACACTCTATAGCTACCTATAATAGTTTTAATATGTCATTAGTATCTCGTTAACAACATTCTCCTAACCCTCACAACTTCATGCCTAACCATTTTAAGGCAAACGGCTCCTACAAGAAAACATATGTTTCCTCATTTTCTCGTTGTACATGCGCAGGTCAAAATGGTACTGTGGTAAAACTTGTGTTGCACAACCATGTACTCGGAACAATCCACATAGACTTTACAGCAATATGTACAAATGCAGTGTAGCCAAAGGAGGACAGATCCCAAGACTCTAGTGGGCATAGCCATAACCACAGGCAATCCATTACCAGTCGGACGAGTTCCCCTTAGTCAGGCCAAACAAAGAAATTCAGATTGCACTCGAGAATCCCAACAAACCTGTGGAACCTCTAGTGCGATCAAAACCCCGTGGGTGGTCTCTCATCAGTAACAACAATGGGGCGCGGTTCTATCTCCCGTGGCGTCAGGTAAGGTCCTCTGCGCACCGCTTCGGCTAGCTGGTGTGATGGAAGGGGGTTGGGTTGAAAGGTTGGAGGAGAGGGAAGGGGAGATGAAAGGGGGGGGGGGGGGGGTTGGACAGCTAGAGAGAACAGGGAGGCATCAGGTAAGGTCCCCTGCGCACTGCTTCGGCTAGCTGGTGCGATGGAAGGAGGGAGAGAAAAGGTGTAAAGAGCAAAAGAAAATGGGTGGAGGGTAAGGGGTGGTAGGGTCCCTTGCACACTGCTCCGGTTAGCTGCACGCTGCACTCATCCCCACACAAAACCTGTCGGGGGGACTGACCTGCGCAGTTGGGCGAATAACATGGTTAACTATACAACACGGGGCTATTGTAGGGGGCAACGCTGACCTGAGCCGAGCAGTTGAACGAGATGGACGCATGTTGTGCCTCTGCCGCTGTTGCCATGGCCACACAGCACGAGTGCCTCCAATCCATGGCTGCCACATGGCAAGGGCGGGAGTAGCGAGGGGTGGGAAAATCAGCTCTCCTGTCCCTGTCAACCTGCCACCATCAAAACTAGAATCCATTCACCACAAATTCTGAAATCTGTGACCAGTGCTGCCTCATATATGAGCCCTCACCGACTGCAGCACTCCGATTTTGAGCCCTCACCTGTCTTGTGCCTCTCTGCCTGTGCGTCTGTCACCAGCTGCACCAGCGTCCAATCACCACACAGCTCCATTGCTGCCCACTCCCTCTCCACCACCGCTGCCAGCAGGCGATACACCTGCAGGGAAAGACAGGGAGAGGGAGAGTAGCAGGTTGGCGTAGCAGTCCTGCTCTCCGCCACCACTACTCAGAGGCGATGGGCACCATCACAGGCACTCCACTGTCGCTCACTCCCTCTCCACCGCTGCAAGCATGCGGTACAACCTGGAATGTTTTGAGTCGACTCAAAAGGTCACTCAAAACCCACCGCTGCAAGCATGCGGTACAACCTGGAATGAGGGAGTTGGAACCGGCAGTGAGAGAGTCTCACCTGACAGTGAGCTGAACAAGGTGCGGCACCGGGAGCAGCACAAGGAGCAGCACAGGGAGCAGCAGAGCCTACCACCGCTGGTATTGTCAAAGATGGCTTGGGAGGGGCATGGTGGACCACACCTAAGCCGCCAAACTCAGTCACTTGCAATGTGCAAAATTCCCATGCAAAAGGGAGATTCTAGGCAACTTCCAAACAGACCGAAATGTTGTCCATTCCCTCAACCCCACCGTTGCCAGCGGTGTGTGTGCACGCTTGCACGAGTGTGAGTGCACGGTGTGTGTGCGTGCGTGCACGAGTGTGAGTGCACGGTGTGTGTGCGCGCGTGCACGCGTGTGAGTGTATGTGCGTGTGTGTGCATGTGCGTGTTCTTGTGTGTGTGCGTGTGTGTGTGGGAGGGGGGGGGGGGGTATTCCTCTGTGTGAATGGGTGTTAAACAGCAAGAGCAGCACTCACAGCAATGCGAATTTCCTCAGATCGCTTGAGCCGAGAGACAAACATGCCCTGCCAGGTACGCAACACAACAGAAAGCAGGACTCTGAGAAATCAATCAAAGCATTTTAACAGTTATTAGTTGTAGTTGAAACTGCAAATGTCGCACACTCAAAGAGGATCCTCCTGGTGCTTCACTAGTCGGAAAAGGCTAAGGCTTAGGGCGCTTTGGCATGTAGGACCAGGATGAAATCTCCACGAGTGGACCACTAAAGACGGCCTACTGGCACTATAGACCGCCAGAGTGGGTCCTCCTGTTGCTGTAGCCAGGTGGCTTTGAGTCGACTCAAAAGACGGCCTACTGGCACTAAAGATCGCCAGAGTGGGTCCTCCTGCTGCTGTAGCAGGAACTACAAGGATAAGTCTCACTAAGAGGATAAGCCTTCACAGCAACGACCACTAAAGGTGCTTTCACTCACCGCGAGAGTGGGTCCTCCCGGTGCTTTAGCCGCAGCGGCAAACGTCTCTTCTTTAAGCTCCGCCTCCCCGTCATCCCCCGCATCCGCACCCATGCCACCCCAAGATAAAGTGGGGGTTAGGGGAACTGACCATCCGCACCTGTATGCGAGTTCCCTTGCCATGCCTGTACCCCGATTCTATCTAATACAAAGGACCGATTTTGTGTAATGAGTTCATTTTTTAGTCGACTAAAAAATGGACTTATTGCACACCCTTGCCATGCCTGTACCCTGCTTCTATCTAATACAAAGGACTAATCAGCAGACATCTTTCCAACACTCACCGCCAGGGTGGGTCCTCCCGGCGCTTTAGCAGCAGCGGCAAACGTCTCCTCTTTCAACTTCGACTCCCCGTCCCCCCCCACCTCCAAATCCACACCCATGCCACCCCCCCTACCCCCCTCTGGATCCTTTCCCTCATCCACCCCGCTGATTCCCGAGTGGGTGGCATGCACCGGCACCATCTGCACTGGCTCGCTACCCTCCACTCTGTCTGCTCCAAAGACGGAAGCCAATGCATGCAAGGACGCCTGGATAGGAAAGCATGGGGCTGGAAACATGGGGTGAATACAACTCCTTCCCCAGAGCATGGCATGGACTGACACCATGCGCACTGGCACACTGCCCTCCACTCTTTCTGCTCCAAAAATCGATGCGAGCGCGTGTAGAGGGGCCTGGAAGAGCGGGGGCGGGGGGGGAGGGGGAGGGGGGAAAGGGAGATGGCACCATGCGCACTGGCTCACTGCCCTCCACTCTGTCTGCTCCAACGGCGGAAGCCAATGCAGACATAGTGCAAGGAAGCCTGGAGAGGGAAACATGGGTGTGTAATTGTAGGGTTGAGTCTTAGGGTGAAATCTTAGGGTGGAATCATAGCGCACTGGAGAGGAGTGCCGGGCGGACTCACCATGGGCAGGGAGGGGTGGGGCCCACTGTCCCCAAACGCATGCTTGACTACGAAAGTGACGACACGGCAGGAAGGGGCGACGAACAGTTACAGTGTCCAGAGAGGGGTGGGGCCCACTGCCCGCAAATGAATCCTTTCAAAAAAAGGTGATGACGTGGCGTCAAGGATGGAGCAGCGCTCACCATGAATACTAAAGGGAGCACTGGAGGAGAGAGAAGGACGGGAAGCCCTTACAGTGTGCAGGGAGGGGTGGGGCCCACTGCCCCCAAACGCATGTTTGAGCACAAAGGTGATGACGTGGCGACGGGGATGCAGCAGCAGACGAGAGCCGTGGGTGGCTGTACGAAAATCCGTGTGGGTGGGGGGTGGGGAGTGGGAGAAGGGAGGTGGAGTTGAGAAGAAGTTTCTACGAAGTTGAACAACGACATAGTCAAAGTATTAACCGGTACATACTGGTGAAAACGTCAAACCAAAGTATCTCTCAACAGTCATAACAGGTACATGTTGATTAAGCCACAACCCCATACAATGCAACCTTTTCTTGCACACAGACGAGCATGACTCACAGCGTGCGTAGGTTATCAGAGCATCAAAATACCCCTCCATCATTTCCACTGGTACATGCTCCTCACTGCGCTCCCACACCTCACAGATGCTATTAGACTGGGCTGCAGCCATGAATGGAGACTGCCAGCCACCAACCATACGGGTGTAAGGACTCACAGTGTGCGGAGGTTGTCAGCGCATCAAAGTACCCCTCCGCCATTTCCACCGGTACGTGCTCCTCACTGCGCTCCCACGCTTCACAGATGCTATTAAACAGCGCTGGCACCTCATTGCTAACACTGAGGCACAACACTGAGGCTCGTTACTTTCCCCCCTCCCCCTCCCCCTCCCCCCCCGCACCTCATTGCCGCGAGGCAAGGAGCACAACACTGTCAACCAATGTTAACCGCACGAGAGAGTAACGAAATTCTGCAGAAGCATGCACAAAAAAGTAAGGGGAGAAGCGCACGGATCAGGGTGAGGGAGCCATGACTCCGGGTGTTGCAAGAGAGGTGAGGCGAGCAGCTCATGTCAGTGCAGCCGACTGGCGGAATCCAAGAGAACTGTACAGAGGAGAAAGAAAGGTGAGCAGAACGTACGGATCAAGGTGAGGGGAGCCATGACTCCGGGTGTTGCAGGAGAGGTGAGGCGCAAAGCGCACTTGAGCGCAGCCGGTAAGAGCAGATCAAGCCCCAGATGTGCTGCTGCTGCTGCTGCTGGTGGTGGTGTTGCTGCCGTGGATGCCTTACTGCAGATCTGGATGAGTGCGCTGTGAATCTCATCAATGCGGGGTTCAAGCAGTTGCGCCCCCACGCTGCTGTTCACAAACTGGGCGGGAAATTTCAAGAATGCAATGCATGCGTAAGGCTTTTGAGTCGGCTCGAAAACACAAACTGTGGGAAGGGCAGGAATGCAATACACGGGGAAGGGAAAGCAAGGAGAGCGCTTGCTGTAGATCAAACAAGGGCCCCTGTGAATTTCGTCACTGTAGGGCTCAAGCAGTTGCGCCCCTTCCTATGCTGTGCACATGGGAAACTGCTGTTTGCAAACCTCCATGTATGGGAGATTCAGTGAAAGCGAAATGCATCTTATTCACCCCTTGCTGCTTGCAAACGTTGATTACGAAAAGGTGGAAACCAGCAAGGAAACAGAACCACAGGGGTTTAACATGCACGACCTGGAAAAAATATGGCGAGCTAGGAACACTACCTCTGATATGAGTTCACATGCTGCTAGTGCAGCCAGAGCGTCCCCTCCGTCCTCATTTGCACCTCCCCCAGATCTACCCGCACCAGTATCACCTCCCCCTTCTGCTCCAATTTCTCCCTCCCCTGCCACCCCTTGCAGCTGCTGGACCAATGGGTGGAGCAGATCCAGCTTCTCGACTGCTGACATGGCGTGCTGCGATTGGTTGGCCAGACGCAACGCCGCCTCCACCACTCGCTGCTGCACCTGGAGAGTGATGGAGGCGAAATGCATGTTCAGTGAAAATAGCCTGAAAATGAAGGATTTATGTAACAGCGGGAATATGGAAAATGTTATTAAATAACGTAAAAATGGAAGGATTAAAGAGAGGAACCGCCCCAAAACGAGGGAGCAGGGAAGAGAGAATATAAAGTTGTTGCTAAGGCAAAAAGAGAGTTTTCCAGGCGTACCTGAGAGTGTGACGAGCGTGTGAGCTTGTACACGTGATCACTGCTGAAAATGAGACTCTGGAAGAAATTGCGGGAACAGGAGGATTGTACGGACCAAATGATAACAAGTCATCTGGGAAAGAGTTAATAGTTATTAAAAGCACGTCAGCTTCTTCCAATAGCGTAGTACCAGGAGACACCCCACAAGGAAGCTCCACACTCGAAAAACGTACCGCATCCAATGACAAGCGGCAGAAGACAGCCCGCGAGGGACTTTTGAGTCGACTCAAAAGTCAAGGAAGCTCCACACTCGAAAAACGTACCACATCCAATGACGGGCGGCCTGTTTTGAGTCGACTCAAGACACCCCACAAGGAAGCTCCACACTCGAGAAAAACGTACCACATCCAATGACGGGCGGCATGTTTTGAGTCGACTCAAGACACCCCACAAGGAAGCTCCACATTGGAGTGTTTTGGAGTGAACATTGTGCAACGTGCAGGTGTTATGTGTAGGTGAAACACACGGATTTCGCAGGTGAAATTGTGGGAGAGCATGGTTTGTTGTGGCAACGATCTTGTGTCACAACACTTGAACTGATTGGTGGGCTGCTTGCTTTTGCATTTGGTAGGCAGTTAGATTAAATATGCGTGTGTGTTTCATTTGTAAGTTATCATTTTATGAATGAAACTTCCCTATCATCGTATTAACGTGAGGGGATTGCTTCACACACACCAAGTCATTATCAACCCACTGCAGCCGTGCTGGAGGAACGACTCTAGTGAATTTTGAAGAAGGCTATATTTGGCTTGCTCTTTATAAACACGGACCCTTGGATAGGGGCTGGTTTTACCCAGGCAACCAAGGACCCTCGGAGGTGACCCTGTGGAGCAAGTCTTGTATGCTTGCATCCCTATTCCTAGAGGATTATTAGTTTCGTATTTTATAACAGTTGACGGTCGTTTGAAGAAACCCTAAGAGCATTCCTGTGCCTTTTCCCGCCTAAGTAGCGCGTTAACTCTTATCGAGGTGGCGCACATCCAATGTACCACGTTACCTTATACAGAGGACGTGAGCAGGTGGCAGCAACCACCAAAGTCAACGTTTGAAAAATGCAGCGAGAGGTTGCATCGAGAAGTTACGACACTGAGGTTACACAAAGAGGCTTTGCCCGAGGTTTCTATAAGAGGTTACTTCAGATTAAGCACCTCTCAGGGTATTTATACTTGTTGCACTGATCTTTGTATTATCCTTATCTAATATACTGTTCTTACAGTACAAGGATCCCAACTCCTCCGCTGAGTTAAACTTGTTAAATTATATATTTTGTTATGTGATTGGTAGGCTTGGTAGGTTATCAAACTGTACTGTAGAGGGTACAACCCCCCTCCTTGTATGCCTCTCTCTTCCTTTCTAGTTCCCCTTTTCTCTCGACACTCTCGCCTACCTCCTAGCTAAACCCCGACGCCATTTCCATGGCAGCCTTTCCTACCTCCTAGATTTCCTAAGTTAACAAAACTCTCCCCGGTTCCATAGTATCCTAGTCCTTGGGTAATTCCTAATACGGGGGCACTACTTCTACATGGTGTTATGAGCAAGTGGAATTCACCGGAACCCACAACTCCCTCCTTAGGCTCCTCCTCTTCATCTCATTACAAGCATCTTTGATACGACATAAAATCTATTTTCTCCATGTCTGGCAAGGGGCCTTATGTCCATTTCACTATTTTGTTTACCTTAGGATTGGAAGTGATTATAGCTAATTGTGGTGCATTAATGGGAATGGGAGGACAACATGAGCAAGGAGATACCTCGAGAGTACCCAAGCCTACTCCTATTGGCAACACAATGAGCCTGGACAACTCTAACTACGCACGTGCTGCACTTGCTATGCCGCCAACTATCGGACGAGAGTCCGCGAGCTCCTTCACCTTCCATGGTAGCCCTGCACTTGGACAGCAATAGCAACAACATTAGCTGTACATCAAAAATCCGTTTCAATGCGCTACAGCTGTGGTCAATGTGGCGGACTTCCTTACCATCTCGAAGCTACAGACGGCAAGCGCCTTTGACGGGAAGGACTTCTCTACTTGGTGATTTGAATTTGAGCTGCCAACACAATGTTCAGGCATCTGGGGCTACTTGGATGGCTCCATAAAATATCTTGAAACTGGAAAACAAAAAGAAAATGGGCATGACTATCACCTCTCATTAATGGCATACACACTACTGGTGCAGAACCTCTCGTCTTCAGAGAAAAACAGCATGCGACCCTTCAAAAACTCACTTGCTCTTGCGTGCTATGCGTAGGATACCCTCTGAAGGATTCATCAGGCACAAGACAGAGTAACACAGCGTAAAATCCTCCAAAAAAAAAGAACTCAGTTCAGATGTTACCCGACAAAAAGGCCGAACTTGCATGACCTATTCCTTAGGAGCGGTAGAAGCTTCCCCAACGAACTCTTTGTTACCATGCTCCTCGCTGGCCTTGGGACTGACTAGCACACATACAAAGCCATCCTGCACACTCAAGGAACCATCTCAGATAGCGCATTCTTCACGACGCCCATTGCTGAACAGCAAGACATGAATCTGTACAGCACGCGCAACAAGACAAAAGTGGAGAAATTCAGATTTTATGCGGGATAGAAGAATGACTGTGTTGGACAAGGGGAGAATCGCAAGCTGCCCTTCTCCAAATCTTGCAAGAAGCCAGGCCACTTCATCGATGATTGCCGAAAACTGAAGGATCATCGTTAAACAAAAGTGCAGCCACGTCGCTCTGGAAGCTTTGCCCATGCGCCACGATGTACCATCTCCCCACCATCCATTGCCTCTTCCTCATCACGCCTTGCATACAACACACGACCCTTCGTCAACTGTATGATTTGCGCACATTGGACCGCTGGCATACGATACCATGCACACCATGGCGAAGTGAGCCATCCTGATGGAGACCGTCGCTCACTTGAGCCTCTGCCGTATCTAACTGAGTGTCAGCGCCCATGACCAAAGAAGCCCTCACAGCCGATGGAGATCGATGAAGAAGAAACTGAAGCTGAGGGCCAAGCCGTACCACGCACCCTCAACATCAAGCCATAAGCCCATGTCATGAAGCACAACTACCCTACAAGATACGCACATGGTTCCTCGACAGTTGCTGCGGACATCACACGGCGTCCTCCACTGCTACCTTCTTAACTGGAAGGTCCTTCTGGAACCTGAAAGGTACACCATCACAATAGCAAGCAACCAAGAGTTAACTGCAGTGGCACTCGGCAACTTACTATTGGAATCGGATGACACAGGGGTTTCGTTACATTTAAATAAGGTCATTGTTGTCGATGGCACCACCGATTTGGTCACCCGTCAGTCAAAGCCCTAAACAACTCAATCAAGGCCAGCGTATTCGACAAAGACACACCATCCTTGCCCAACGGGCAATAACTTCGACCAACATCTCGACAGAATGGCTGCACCATCTGTCCAATCGCTGGACTACCAAAGAGTCATTTACCTCCGAGTTTCCTCAGCGCACAACAATACCCGAAACTTGATGTTTCTCTCAGCGACATCTTGTTTATGAACGAAGAAGCTAGCAACACCAGCGGCGATCAAGAAAGGCCTTTGATGCCTTTAGTCTCTGGGTTTGCTTGGCGGATAGACAGAGCGGGTTGAAGCAAAGGAACCCCACACAGACAACGCACAGGAATACGAGAGTGACGTCTTCCAAGAGTAGGACTATCCCTTATGCTCATCAGCAGAACTGAATGGTGGGGAGAATGAGTCCTACTCGCTCAAGCACCCCTGCTAGCTGAATTTTGGACTAATGGGATGGCACAAGCTGTCATCATGCAAAACGAGCTGCCATGCACCGCCCTCCCACATCACTTCTCTCCACATCTTCTATGGACAGGGCAGCCCCCGACACTAGACTTCTTTGAGTGGGGATGCTTAGTATAGTGCCGACCTCCAAGTGCCGCAGTGGGCAGATTCACTTACAAGGCAAAGTGGGGCATTCATTTGGGCATACCAAAAGATGCTCACACATGGATCATAATGGACTACGACAGCAACAAGGTTTTGTATGCCCTTGACTGCATCTTTTGTGATAAACTTTTTCTTTACGACTTTGAACGGGACAGGAAAGCTGAAGCAAATGCACCAGAATGCTGCATTGGTGAAAGGAGCTTTGCCACCCCCCAGGATGAAGCCGATGCTACCGAAGAATGTTATCCACAGCCGCCTTCTGCCAAGATCCCACCTGCACCATCTTTACCTACTGTTCCAGGTGAAACCGTTGGTCCTTCCGAACCATGACGACATGAACCACCACTATTCGGGCAATATACGCCAAAGGATTACTCTGGCATGCAGCCAACACCACTCTTCATCCCGCTATCAAATCCACGTAACCCCAATGCCACAGTCGAATCTGTCTATCACTACAAAGATGAGCCTCGAGACATGCACGCGGATGCCCCATCAAACGAGACAGTATGCCACTTGCCAGCCAAAATTACAGATGAGGACGACATCAAAGGGCACAGCCACCCACATCCACATGTTGCACAATTGGCCCTCTACATCCTCGATCGCTCTGTCATCGTTTAATCTTCACCGGTCGTGCTTGAACTGAAATTTATTTTGCCAAGCTCTACACTGATGCATCCAAATGGCATGTTGCAATGGATGCCGAAACGAAGGCCCCCGAGCATCGGAAAACCTGGACAATCGTTCCAAAAGTTGCCGCCCGAGGAAAGCATACGATTGTCTTCAGATTCAAGAGTGTCCCTGTTTGGTGTGGTCGAGGGCCTAACCTGGCAACAGTGGGGTGCACTACTTTGCCAACATTTCGAGCATGTATCCACATGCGAGAACGCGTGTGTGAAGCTGCACGGAAGGCATCAGATGGGATCTGTCCAAGAATACACATCATCCTTCCTCGCCATCTGCGACAAAATCGGCAATCTATATGAGACAGAGAAAGTGAATCGATACATTGTAGGGCTGAAACCAGAGGGGCAGCGAGAAATTCGCATGCGTTGCCCGACAACGTTAATGGAGGTATAGCATGTCGTAGAGGTGTGGGATGAGAACAGTGTCCTTATGAGGGCACGTTTTCGAGAGGGAAACCGTTTTCAAGGGAAGAACATCTACCCACCAATCAACGGTCTAACAGCATCGTCAGACCTGAAATTATGGGGACTGTGCTTTTGCTGTAACCACTTGGGCCACATTATGCGGGACAGTCCTCAGTCAAAGAAATTGGGAGCTAACGACATAAGGAAGTCGGGAAATGGACATAGTCAGTTGCAGCTGGGCCACCTACTAACGCGGATTCGTCGCCCGAAATTCACCAGTTCCACCGAGAAATAGTGTCCATCTATGCGATCGACCACACCCGGTTAAAGGGGAGTGAACCTGTTGATTGCCCTGTTCGGGTGGAAGGGAACATTGGCAACACTCGACTAAATATTTTTGTGAATGCAAGAGCGTTACGCGGTCTGTTTGATGTGACCGAGACGAAGAAATTGCGACTGTAAATGGAGTGGTGCATGCCCGAAATGGACGCGCGATTGGTTGACGACACACAACTTGCAATCCAGGAGCGCGTGGAGCATGTGAGGACCGACTGTAACAGTCGAGTCGACTTCGCCTTGAAAATGCTCGCGACAATGCTGGACTCCTGGGGCGCGATTGACAGGAGGAATGGCGACATTCTCTTGAAATGGGGAGACAAATGACGACGACTGTCGAAGTGGAAACCACCTGACCCCCAATCAACACTCATGAATCAAGTGACCATAAAACGAGTGATGGCTAGCGTATACGCCGTCCGATGGATCACATCTACGGCTAAGGCGGAGCAGACTGACCTCGAGAAGTTGTGTGTTGGAGTTACTGTGGACCACGTGAAGATCATGTGCAATTGCGAGAAGATATTTCCTGATGATGTACCGCCCGGCCTGCCACCTGAATGACCACACGATCATACCATCGAGCTGGAACTTGGAGCAAAACTGACCATCCTATCGAAATGGAGGCGAAGTCAGCCAGGATTAAGGGAGTTGCGTGAGCAACTGAATTGTCTCTTGGAGAAAAAAATTCATCTGCCCATCCACGTTACCCTATATTGTCCCCATTCTCTACACCCCCATTACCATGCGCTGAACAGTATCACTAACAAACCCCGTTACCCTATTCCGCGAGCCGACGGTCTCATCGACCAACTTCGCGGGGCCAAGATTTTCTCCAAAATTGATTTGCGAGGGGGTTACCACCAGATTCGTGTCGCTGAAGCTGATTTTTGAAAGGCTGCAATTCGTACCCACTATGGAAGTTACGAGTGGACCGTCGGGCACTGACTACCAAACAACGACATTATTACCTAAAATCTGGTACTGATCAAATTTGGGTTCTCTCTTACTGCTTATTACAGGAGCTACTGATGCATGAGGTATACGACGCTACAGTGACGGAAGAAACTGTCCATATCTTGACCCTTTGAGATGTTAAAATGCATGTGTTTTTTCTATACCGACTCTTTAAAATAGGAGGCTTTAATTTACTAGTAGACTGCCTCCAGAGCAAGAAGAGCACATGTCATGCAGCCTGAAAGGGCATGTTTATTATTCAAAACCAACAACTACATTCACCAAGTAGTATTCGGACAATTTTGGCCAGATTTAAAGAAAGCATTTAACAATCCAAAATTAGTACCTATTCCACCTCCCCTTAGCCTTAACCATTGCCTTCACCCTCCTTGGCATACTGTTAATAAGCCCCCTGGACACATCCGCCCCAATCCCATCCCATGTCTCTTGCACCCGTTCCCAAGTCTGGAGCATCCCTGTGCGGGGAAGCTCATACTTGGCAAGCTCTCTTTTGAAATGTGCCCACAAGTGCTCTATGGGTTGAGATCAGGGGAGGAGGAAGGCCACTAAGGACTGAGTATTGCTGCTCAGACAGCCAAGATTGCACAAGGCGGCTCTTGTGCTTGGGGTCGTTGTCATGCTGGAAGATGACATCCGGAGGGGGTTAGATGATAGAAATCGATGGCTTGTGCAAGCTCATCATGCAATATGCTTCTGTACAGCTCCCCATCCATGCGGCCGTCAATCTTACACATATATTCCGGGCCATCATATGTCATGCAACCCTATATCATTAGTGACCCACCCCCATGCTTGACGGTTTGCTGCACTTGGTGACCTTGCAGGGCTGCCCCGTCGTGTATCCACGCGAACTTGCGGCCATCATTGGAAAGGCGATTGATCTTGGTCTCGTTGGACCAGATCACCCGCTTCCAATCTTCCGTAGTCCAATCAAGGTGCGCCTTGGCAAAATCGAGGCGGTCTCTGATGTTTCGGGCAGAAAGACGCGGCTTCTTCGGTTTCTGCACGGCTACTAAACCAGACTGCTTCAGGGCGTTGCGCACGGTTCTAGGATAGATCTTGATGCCGCGCTCTGATTCTAGTAGTTCCGCGGCTTCTATGCTAGTCTTTGCATGGCCGGAAGTGACTGCTCGAACCAGTGAGCGCCTATCACGTACCGAGAGCATGCACGGTCTGTCGTTCGTAGGAACAATCGGCCTGACCGCTAGGCTGCTCGTGCGCTGGCGGCTTCGTGAGCGTATTTCTAGACTGTGCTCTTCCCTATTCCTAATGCCCTTGTGATTTGTCGGAAACTCCGACCCTGTCGAAGCAGGGTCGCGATCCTATATTTCTGGCTCGAAAGAAGCGATCGCATCGTCGCTAGGAGCTTGGCGTACTATCGAGAGGAAAAAAAAAGGTTAGGTTGCGAGATCGCGAAATGCAGACAGGAAAGAGACTTGGACTCTAAGTTGGCCTAAAGTGTCCGCATCGAGTGACAGCAACATATTACTGTACGCTTTACAAGAAACTCGATTTAAATTTCAACACCCAACTGCATAAACCAGCTAAGGTCAAGAGGCACACTATGCAATCTGTTGTTGTCGAGTTTTGACAACATATCACGCCTAAATCTCAATGTCTATCTACTGCAATGGATTTTTAAGCCC